GCAGCATTCTGTGAACCTCGAAGTGCAGATTTCGTGGCAGGCGCAGCACTTGGTAAACCTCGAAGTGCAGATTCCGTGGCATTCACAGCACTTGGTGAAGTGCAGATTTCGTGGCAGGCGCAGTGCTTGGCAGATTTCGTGGCAGGCTCACTCTCACTCTCACTCTCCCACTTTCACTCACACTCACACTCCATTCATTCTCATCCACACTCACACTCACTCTCACTCACACTCGCACTCCCTCACACACTCACTCACTCACTCACTCCCTCCCTCCCTCACTCACTCACTCACTCACTCACTCTCCCTCTCCCACCCCCACTCCCACTCCCACTCACACTCACACTCACACTCCTCACGCTCACACCCACTCACTCTCCCTCTCGCAGACTCTCACTCGCTCTCACTCACACTCGCACTCACATTCACACGCACACTCACTCACCTACACTCACACTCACATTCACACTCACTCTCATTCACTCACTCTCACCCTCACCCTCACTCTCACTCTCACTGTGTGGGTGAGAGGGAGTGTGAGTGAGAGTGGGAGAGTGTGTGTGAGCGCGAGTGTGAGTGAGAGTGAGTGTGGGTGAGAGTGAGAGTGAGAGTGAGAGTGAGTGTAAGTGAGAGCGAAGGTGGGTGTTAGTGTGGGTGAGAGTGAGAGTGTGTGTGAGTGAGAGTGAGAGAATGAGTGAGTGTGAGTGAGACTGAGAGTGAGAGTGAGAATCACCACCATCACCTCTCTGGACCGCAATGCGTCTCGATCTCTAGACTTTCTGCTTACAGACCTCACACACACTGTTTGGGGTCTCTTGCCGGGATAATTTTTTAAATGTTGAAAACAGGCTCTCTCCAATGAAAAAAACTTATGAGGTTAAGGGCGATAATGTTTTGGCTCCACACATTGTGTTCCAGACGCGCGATTCACCACGGAGAGTCCGAGTTTGGTGTTTTTCATTTTTTGGGATTTGGGTTTTTCAAACCGAGTTGTTTTTTCCGCACAGAATGATAAACATGCCAAGTGGGGTGGCCTGCAACGAAGTGATCAGAAGATTCGATGCTTCCATGAGATTCAGTGTTCAGCTGATGTCAGCCTTTCGAAGCTTTCTCAAACCACTCAACTTGGTGCTTTCACCGGAGAAACCGGAAGGAACAAGGAAACAACTGCTGAAGAAAAAACGACCGGTGCATGGTTTGCCGGTTTTGCGCGTGACAGGTTGGAAGGATAGAGACTGAGTCTGGGGTGTGGCCAAGCCAGCTGGCAGTGGAGAATGATCAACCACCATCTTTGGAATCGTATCGATCCCACCAATCAAAGGATATTAAATCATATTAAGTCTATTGGATTCGTGGCTTGGGGCCCCAAGTAATTCCGGTCCAAAAAACATGCATGTTGTCCCATCACTCATGAGCAAACCCCCAAACATTCAGTTTAAACAACTAAAAAACACGAGCAATACATCAACATGTTGCTAGTGTTTTTTTTCAGCAGTTGCGCGCCAGCTTCGGGTTTATCAGCTGAATGTCACATCAACACTAGCATCAGTTTGGAGCACCTTTGGGCGCCAGGTGATCCACCCCGCCTGGACGGTTGCGGCGGTGGGGGAGCCCTGCGAGCTCTGCGAGCTCGTTCCGTGCGGTTGGGAGACTTCTTCCAGGTTTGGGTCACACCCAGCAACTTGCTCGAGTTGATATGGACTAATGTTGTTTAGTGGAAGGATGTGACTGCAGTACTTGAACGCTGAATGTTTGCTTGCTTTCTTTGGCATGCAAGCGGGCTGGCTCTCGGCACAGCTTGAAACGATGCGGTTCTTGCTGTTCTCATCCTGGAAGAGCCGGCAGTACTGCAGGGATCTCTTATAGTGGGGAACCATTCAAAAAACCCTTTGGAGCTTCGATCCATTTCTATTCATTTGGTATATGATTTGGTTCATCAGGAATTCCGGGGGCATCGTTGGCTCAATCAGAGGACCCGCGGCCCCAACAGGAGTATAACTTATTCATAGCTGTTTGATCTGTTTGTCTCGAGTCCTCTGGGATGGCCCACCAGACAGTTGAACGTAGTCTCACCATGTCTCGCCCTCAATCGGATGATCGGGTGTGTTCAAGTTCCGATTGAAGTGCAGTCATGAAGTGCATCTTTCACTCACCCAGGCCACGACCCAGGCGTCTCCCCTGCAGGGGAAGGTTGGATGACAAATGATAACAAGACCAGGGCCTCCGGTTTGGTTTGTCAGTGTCTATTCAAGACCCCGAAAAGAGGCGACTTAACCACCATGACCGTGGGTCCGGGTATGTGTCATCCAGCCTGAAGTAACCTTCGATGATGACTAGGAGCCTCCCAAGTACCACAACCTCCGGAAAGCCCCCTTCATGCTGCACTACACGTGTGTGAGAATCAAAGATTTGGCTACAAGCCGATTCGAGTCCCCATGGATGAAAAAAGGAAGCAATTGCAGAGGAGTGGATCATTCCAGGATTGGCTGTATTTTGGAGTCCATCCAGCTAAAGGGTGTTGATACATTCCCACACACACACACACAACGCATGTGTTCGATCCGTTCAATGGGGAAAGAATGTATCGATACGCTCTGCTCCATTCCACGCCCGCACCCGCCTGCACCCTGAGGCGGCGCCTCCCGTGACCATGCGGGTCAGCAGTGCCAGGGAGCCTAAGAAGTTCACCGCAGATGAGCAGTTCCAAAAGGTTTGACATGAATTGAAAGGATCTTAGATTTAGTTGTTAGTATAGTTGTTATATGTTGTTATGATATGTTATTTGTTATGTTGTTATGTTATGTTGTTAGTATAGTTGTTATGTGGTTTTCCTTCAGGATGCTCACTTAAGCAATCTTAAGCACCTAAGAGTTTTTAGTTTTATTGTGATACCACTGGTTTCCTCTGTGCAAGAACCTTGAGATGTGATCACATATATATATATATGTGATCTATATTGATCTATTGACCATAGATTTGGACACATTGATCTTTAAAGCATGTTTCACAGCAGGCGACCGAGGTTTGTTTTGGTGCTTGCAGTATGTGGAGGATTTCCTTTCTTTGTGCTGCTCTTCTCTTGGGTGCTCAGCTCGCTCCAGGCTCCACAAGCTGTGCGTGTGCGGGCACCCGGTTTGGCCGATGAGTTTCTTCCACGACCAGTGTTCACGGCGGGCCGCACTCTGAAAGCCAGGCATTTGGGGATTCATGTGGCTTTCGATGCACCGACTTCTTGAGCTGCTCAACGGCCCAGTTCTCGTTCTCGGCTGAACAGGTCATCTGCCAGGATCGGTAGACCGACGTTGAGCGCTTGGGACCGAGCACTTGGAGCGCATCCCGGCGCCCTCCGATCCCATCCGAGTCCGTCCGGGGGTGCTCACCGGAGTGCTCACCCGCAGGCGGCGTCTTGCCCCAGCTGTGGCAACGTCTATCTGCCACTCGGTGCGATGACGACGCCGACGTCTTGCGTTTGGGAAGGCTGTAGAGAGGCCTGTAGGCAGGCTGGAACAAGATCCTGTTTGAGCACATTTGGGCTTCCCATTCCAAGACACATCCACACATTAGATGCCATCATTATGCTGATGCTGTAGCTGAGGGTTTATTAGTGGTTAGACTACAGTGACCCCAAATCGATCGAAATCCTGTACTCGCGGATTCTTGTGACCTTTTTTTGCTGGCATACCTCTGGCCAACTCTAGTCTTCTCACTGTTGAACATGTCATATGAAGTATACAAAATACACCGGATCGTTTGGGAGGGAATCCACAACGATGTTCACTACAGATCTGCGTTTGCACATAGTCTGGGAACATCCCGGGGCCGACCTCGGCAAATGAGAATCAACAGCTAGGTGGGAGCCACACTCCTTGAAATCATCATGGTTTCGTAGAGTGAAAACCAAGACTCTTTGGCCTCAATTGGATTTCATAAGTCTAGTTTCACTTGGGGTCATGCCGTCCACTTCATTCCAGGGAGTGTTTTGTACAATACCTTACAAGTCAAAGAGCTCATTTTACTGAAGATGGTCATCCAAATCCACTATTTAAGGAGGTAGGGCAGACCATTTTTTACTGGGTCTTTATAGTGTTTTGTAGCAAAAACCATATGTCATGGCCCACTGTGTGTCCTTCATGTTTCTAGAAGGCTTAAAAAAAAGGCTTTCATGTGATGACCGGAACGACCGGTCGGAAGCACCGGAAGCGACGTCCTTCGACCTGGGACCCGGTGGGACCAAGGAAGCGCCATGTTGGACCGTTGGACGTCGGACGGACCCGTTGGACAGACCGGTGGGGGGAAAAACACACCACGTCGACCTGAAAAACGAACAGAAGGAAGTGGAAAGGGGAACTACTCTGAGTCAAGAGGCAAGAAGGAGTACTCGCAGAGTTTCGCAGAAGGATTCTCCGGATTCTCCGTATAGTCACTTCCATCTCGAGGATTTGTCCAAGAGACCAAGGACTTCAGTCAGTATAGTCACTGTGACTTTTTGGAGGTTCTTCTTGCTACTGCCCGCCCCCCCCCTTTTTGTGCGGTGCCACGACGTACGAAATCTTACAATTTCACGGTGACACGGCGGGACGTTGGATCTGCCGTTTTTGAATGAAAGAAGAGGAACTGAGGTTGGAAAACACCAATTGATTATAATTGATTTATTGATTGGGCAGTGAACGTTCCTTATTGTTTTCCAATGTATACAGTAGAGCTTTACTGGCCACAAGCTGGTTCGTTGACCAACAGCTCCATACATTGGACAAAAAGAAATAGAACTGCAGAGAAAGATAGCTGCTTAATGTCCAACGATTTGGAATATCCAACACAGTTGCCTTCTAACTGATTTTGCACCCAGCACTTTTTGATACTTATAGTGTATAGCAGTTATGCACAACATTTGGTACTTTTTGCTTATTGCATTGTGTTTGTTGACTTGCGATGAATATCCCGGTGCAGTCTTCAGAAATGTTGCGTTTGCCGCCTCATCGGAGACCTTTCTATTGTGTATATTGCTTCCAACATTGGGTTGTCTATTTGTTCAAGAAAGGCACAGATCATCATAGATCATCCAAATACCAGTTTTGAAGACGCACCCTCACTGCACCCGACACCCCTGCGTGCCCTATGCTATTTAGACAAAATATCACGCCCCTTCGTTCGTTCGAGGCCTGATTCCATCTTCTGCCGCCGATGCGGCCGGAAGCGGGATTTGGTGTCCCTGGACGGGCGCGCGAAAAGCTGTACGCGCGATCATCGTTTGCGTGCTCAGAGCCCGGATGCACGGTGTGGATCTCCAGTATGACATCCTCACGTAAGGTCCCAAAGCATCCATATATATATATATAAATATGGAATAGTTGCTACATTAGGGTCATACATTTGGTAATGTATGATAAGGTATACCAGTCCCATGCATTGTTTGGGTAGTGAGTTGGAAAAAACGGGAGTCTCCAGCGGTAAACTATGCTTGGGACCAGCTTCCACGCACAGAGCTGGATTCACAGTGGATTCCAATTTGGTTGCCATGGCCAACGAAGAAAGGTCCTCGTTTCTCCACACATTCTCTAGACGCCGAAAGATCTCGTCGTTTTTGACTGCTTTCTGGATTTGGTGCCAATGTGTGCCAGAAACACACATAAACCCCTGCTGCGATTTGACAAGACATGTAGAAGTCATAAGTCCTGGATAGTCCTGGGATTTTGGATGCTCCACTACCACCGGACATGGCCGTCGTGCCTCTCCATTGGTCGCCCTGCAGGACATCATGCGACCCTCCTCGGTGACCCTGCCGCAGGGCGCGACCAGGCGCTCAGTGAGGGCTGAACTCGGTGCGGGTGAGTTCGTTGACCTCCGGGTGAGGGACGTTTTTCTTTTAAGGCATGAGCAAGTGAGGAGTTGCATTCTTCTGGCCTAAGGAGCGAAAAGAACAATTGACTTAAATATCAAGAATGAGCAATATTGCCAGTCAGATCTTCAGCAGCCTTCCAAGATCTTTGTCATCTGGAAGCCCTCAACTGCTATGAATTCCAAGATAAACCCCCAAATCCCAGTGTCCAACTGTTCTTGAATCCCAGATCTAACTTACAGAAACACTTCTTTTCATCTCTTCTCTTTTTCTCCATGCTTTTTCAAACCTAACCACCACCAGCACCGCCACCCCCTCCGCTTCCTCCGCTTCCTCCGCTTCCTCCGCCAGAACCGCTGCGCCGGTCACAGTCCCCGTGACCGCTGCCCCGGTGACGGTCCCAGTGACCGCCTTCGCCCCGGTCACCGTGACCGGCGGCACGGCGTCGCCCACGTCGGTGACCTCCATCCGCGGAGAGGACGGACGGGTCGGTGGAGGTCCCAAAACGGCCCAAGGTCAGTGCTTTTTGGGGATGTTTGAGGTGCTGAAAGTGTCCTTGGCGAGGGCCGAAAGCAACGTAGTGATGGCCTCCCAACCTATAGCGATGGCCTCCACCTGCTTGATGAATACAGGACAACATTGGGTGGAAAGGATTGCAAGTCGCTTGAAGAGCACCATGTTTTGGCCCAATTCTGGTCGCGGCGTTTGCGCGGGTCCGCTTCGCTTGGAGTACCTCTTGGTTGAGTGCGTTCCTTTTGGTGGAGTGTCTTCACTCCATTCTCGGTGTAGTTTGCTTGCACACCCAAAGACTACCCCCGCTTAGTTGACTTGAGCTTGAGTCTCGGCTGGTTTTTACAGTCCCCAGGAGGTCTCCAGCCCGCGATCGCAGATGAGGCAGCACAACGGCTGTGTTGGGCGCCCATGCGAGGCAGCACAACGACATTAGGGGCATTACATGGCATTACCACGGAAGTTAAGTTGTTGATTGATATTTTTTGTGTGTGGCGTTCTGGAGGAAAAAGCATCCGCATTGAAGTTGGATTTCGCGTATTTCTATGTGAGTTCGATTTCAAGCAATTTGAGCTTCACATACAACGTTGATTCAAGAACTAACAACTAACAACCTCAGGACTCCAGGTATCCAAGGAGTTTTGCAAATTGGTTTGGTCATATTTGGTTTTGATGAGTCAGTTTCACCACTCAACTCTTGGATTTGTATCAGGGAGTCGTTTAAAGCCACCACTCTGACGAATTCTCATCAAATCAACAATTGTACAGTATACTACTGTAAATCACTTGGACATGAATGAAGGATATTTCAGGCAGCCTGCAAATGGTTTACATGTGAGTCACCAAGTTGCCGTGAGACGGCTTGGCCGTCTCTCCTGCCCGGCTCATGGAGAAGTCAGAATGAGATGAGAATGAGATGAGACTAGAACTCCCCAATTCCACCCACCCATGCAAGCCGAGAACCCCGTATAGATAGGTCGTATGGGTCGTAGGCAGGTCTCGTCCAAAAAAGAAATAGCCATGTAAGCCAGCGGTCGTTGCAAGTCATGCCACCTCCCCGGTCGGAGAAGGTCGGTCCGTCCACGTGCTCCACCGTCGCCATGGCGAAGCCACCCACGCGGCGCGCGGTGGATGGTCGAAGCGACGGTGGCGGGGCGGAGTGGAGCAGGGCACGGCCCGGCACGGCTGGGCACAGTTGAATGTAGGTCAGGGCACAGCTGAAGGCCCCTCCAAAAAAACTGGATCACTTCGCCCCGTGCTCAGCCGTGCTCCTGATCCGAGTTTGGTGATTGGCCATGGTGTTTTTTCTTGACGATGGGAAGACGTTTCAGTGCATAGGAGTCAAAAGGTTGAGTGGATTTCTATGGAATTCCCCAGGCCACAGCTTGGATCCTACATCAAAAGCTCAGCCTCCGCACACTGCCACACTCGTTGCCCAGGACCTCGTAGCTTTATGCCGCGCAAGGGCCTGGGCTGTGCCTGGGCTGCGGAATTAAGGGAGGCGTGAGATGCGAGTCTAACATGGTAAGTAACCGCGTCACTGCAGTGCTAGTGTCCATCCATGTCCATCCGTCATGTAGCTACGACGGCTACGGCCGAAACCTCCAAAAAGGGCATGGTTGAGTGCGGCTGAGTGGGGATTTGAACCCTCCAGTATGTTCTGCATGTTCGACCAGGTTTAGTAGGGATGGGTGAAGGGCTAGTGATAGTGGTGTTCATCAAGTGTGACTATGTCTCGATGCGAGCATGTCTACAGGTCCTGGGGGGTTGCACAGAGAGACACTGAAAGGCATCTGGAAGTGGCAACACCACTGGACTAAAGGCTGGAAACGGTTTGAAAGCAATCAGTCAATTGAAGGCCAGGCGTATTTCTGGCTTTTGCTCACATGCCTAATTCGAGTGATGTTCATTTCCTCCAACCCACTAAGTCGCTGTGATGCACCAGGTGCTGCCACCTCGGCAGGGCGTTGTTTCCACCCAGGCCGCGCTGGCATTGTTTCTGCAAGAGCTGCCAGACGTCCCCCGTTCGGAGCTGGAAGACCGCGACGAAGGCCATGGATGCAGAGTGGGTTGCACAGGGATCCTTGAGTGTCTTTCACCATGTCTACCCCATCATCCCATCATGCCCCTCCACCACGAGTGCTAGCTCGCAGGTTGGCACCAGCGGACCTCAACCGCGAGGGCTAGATTGCTGTGGGCACCGCCAGATCGCAGTGGGCACCACCGGACCTGAAGCAGATAGAAAGAATGCCAGAAAGAATGTCAGCAACTATGCCGCTGCCAGATAGAATGCCAGAATATATATATATATATATGCCGGATAGACGGCCACAATTACTGCCACTATATATATATATATGCCAGATATACCATGAGAGGCTTTGCCAGAAAGAACGTCAGGACAAATGTCAAAAGAATGTCGGACGATACCACCCTAGATCTTCAAATGAGCAGAAATAAGTGCTCGAGGTGTAAACTGCTCGTTTTGCAAAAAAGTGCTCGAGCTGCAAATGAAGAAAAGCAAAAACAGGTGCAGTTTTCCAAAGTGCGCTCGTGTGCGCTTTTTTGCGCTCGTGTGCGGAATTTTGCGCTCGAAGTGCGGCCTTGAAAAAATGCGCGGGACACACAAGAAGCTGCGCGTTTTACAAAAACTGCTCGTTTATCCAGAAAGTGCTCGATTCTTAAGAAAGTGCTACGAAACGCAGGTTGAGCACTTATTTCTGCTCGTTTGAAGACCTTGGCATAGAATGCAAGAGCTTACGCCAGATAGAATGCCCGAGCATGTGCCAGAAAGAAAGACTGTCAAACATATGCCAGATTGAATGCCAGAATTTGTGCCAGATAGAATGTTAGAAAGTATGCAATGGCAACTTATTAATATACCTTATTGCAAAACTAGAATGCCAGAGTGCAACAGTATATTCATTATGTTTCGAAATTACTTAAAAAATACAGATACAATGCCAGAATATGTCCCTGTTGAATGCCTGGAATATGTGCCAGATACAATGCAAGAATGTGTGCTAGATAGAATGCCAGATATTGCCAGGTAGAATACCTGAATGATGCAATATAGCCATCGGTAATCAGCAGAGTACAATGCCATGGTGGGGATCACCCGGAGTAACTATTTTTCGGGGGGCAGTCAAACACCATTGTCAGCCATTACTAAATACCCACCCTTCGTTGAGGGAGTCGCAGAAAAAATCATTCGATGGTTGCTATGATGCTCAGGCGTTCAAGATGGCTCGCCGCAGCCATGGTAGCAGGGTAGCTCTGGGAGAAAACCAGCTCCGACCAAATGAATTTGTTGATGCTCTGACCGGGGTATTTAACACGGCTTAAAACATTTGACCAATGCCAATGTCATCCAGGATACCTTCTTCAGATTATGTTTATCCTCCTCTACCATCACTATAGCTATAAAGCTACTTGAAATTAATGTATTGTGTTTTCACGGCGCTTCTTCACCAGGTAAAGGGCAAGAAAACAAGACATCCAATTGGTCTGCAGAAATTCCTTCTGTTGTTGTTGTTGTTCCACCTGGAAAAACACATTTTCCATAAAGGCGGCTCCCCTTTGTGCCAAGAGGGCTGCACCCGACATGCTTCGCCCGGAGGCGATCCCCTCTTCTTGCTCATCAGGGCTTCTGCACGTGCAGCCGCCTGGCAAGCCGGCCTGGCACTGGTGGAGGCGGATTGGGCAGCGGATTTTGCAGAAAAGCGATGACCACAGGTAAGACCAGGAACTTATACACGTTTCAAACCATTGAGGAAACCAGTAGCCTACTTAAGACCAGGCCAAATGATCGAGAAACAATCCTTCTCGAAACACTACAACCTGCGGAAAAAAAAAACTTATCATGCTGCATAAATATGCTGCATCCTGTGTATCTTGAAGAAATCCTTGCTGTGTGCTAAGTGTACAGTAAGTTGAAAAGCGAGTGGAAACTGACCCGAGCCCCGCGAAAGGATTTTTTGATTTTGGGGGGAAATACCGTAGCCATCCGGACATACAGGTTTCTCTCTGAAATGCTTTGTGGGCGTCGATCCGAAAGCAGGGACTGAGCGGGTCATGCGGGCTGGTCGAGTTTGTGCGGCGCCAACTTCAAGTCTCGAGCTCCGAGGAGGGCCCTGGTTTCTCTGCAGAGAGGGCCCGACAAGTCGTTTAGAAGTTGAAGCGAGCCCCCCTTCAAGCATGCTGGATCACGCCAAAGGTCGTGGAACGAAGGTCTTTCTCCTGCCCGAGGTTTGGACACATCGACCTGAGGTCACAGACTGTGATGGCCGCCTGAAGAAAGCATGACCAGCCAGAATGTTTCCCTTTTAAGCCGCTCATTGAGACTGAATCCCCTCAGCCCCTGTCAGGATCAAAGACAACTGCCGCAGCGCACCCTCAATGCGCTTCTCAAAGCTGTCGCTGCACAGCAACAGTTTCAGCAGGCGCAGGCTTTGAGGTTTGTGAGAGGATGTAGTTTAGTATAGGACTAGAGGACTGGTTTGAATGCTCAATAAGCCCTGACGGGCAAGTCGTTCTTCGAATGCGCCCGCAGACACCGGGCAGGGGTCATGTTGCCGAACCACAGAACGTTCCGGGGGGCGGTTTGTGTTGATGGAATTCTGAAGGTTCATCGAATTCCGAAGGCATGATAAGAATCAGGGAAGATGTCTAGACCCCAATGGTTTTTGCATGCGCCAGTTTTCAAGTAAGTTGGGTACGAAGGTGACAACTGAATGTTGACAGTTTGCCAAAATTGGACTTGATGTAGTCCAACCACTTGGTGCCCAAACGGAATGCAATGGTTCATCATTGGCAACAATGAGACCGGATACGTGTGCATCGTTACGTTGCACATTGCCGGGAAGTATCCACATATCCAACACATTCAGGCCGCCAACTCTAGACTGCAACGCAATGCAACCAGGGAATTATGAGTTGTTGCCATGTGTATTTGGTGGCCGTTTTGGGTAGTTCAACATTTGCCATGTTTGCACAATGACTTTGTCCTTTTATGAATCAAGACTCATGTGTATACACAATTATATTTTCTTTACATTATACATACCCTTTACATATTTGTTGCATTCATGATAAGCGTTTGGCGTTGGTCAATCTGTCCATCAACTCATCAACCTGAAACCAACTCCTGTCCAATGCCATTTTGTGAAGTGTATCTATACAAGTTTGGCGTGTATCGGGATGTTGTTGTTAACCATATTGTTTTGTTGTTCTCACCTCATGGCAGAAGCTCACAGTTTTCTCACCAAATCCTTGCACTACCAAGTTAATGCGCAGGCATTGACATTGTTGCCTGCCGATCCGCATGCAAGCAGCTGGCAGGCAGTTTGATTCAAGTGGTTGATGAAGCAATTAGTGCTATTCACTACTTGCACTACCTGCAATAGAACTGTTCGGCTTACACAGTATACACACCAAGTGGGCAACTTGTCCCTACATGGTGGTTCCATGAATTGATATATTGGGTTCTGGCGTCGATGTTCCACTGCAGGGTGAGGTCATGGGTCCAAAGCCTGTTGACGAAAGCATCTCGATCTAGAAACTCTTGGCTAGAGTCTAGAGGATCTTCCTTTACGCAGCCTCGAGATGTTCCACCGGATCCACCAAACCGAGCATTTTCCCGTTTTTATACCTTTTTTTTTTTTTTTTCGGAACAGTCGCGTTCAGTGCTCAGGCGCTGCTGGGCGCGGCGGTGAGCACCTCTTGTTGGGAGACGCTGGGCGGTGAGTCAAACGTGCGCGCATTCCAAATGAGGTGGTTGTATTGAAAGACCGAGTTGCCTTGACTTTGTATCTGGAAATTGGGTAATAAGCACTCAAACACTCCTTGCCATAACACAATAATCCAAGACATGTATATACGATTTATACATGCTGGAGGCGATAGATCCAATGGCAAGTAGCCCAAGTAGGATCAAGTGCGCTGTCAACCGGTGGACATGTAACCAACAGCTCAAACACCTTAGACATGCAGCAGACACAGAAAGAATTCAAACAGCATTTGGAAGTCCTTGGCCTTGGCCAACAATTCAAAAGCACTCAGAAATCCCAGATGATTGTTCCTGAACATATCAGCATCCACCAGGGTTTGTCAGGGTTTGCCCATTTCAAGACCCCACATTCGGATAGAAAGTTTCAGGGTTGTTCGTTCATGTTCGTTCTATAGGTAGTCGCTGGGAGACCACAATCCTTTGCATGAGTTCTTGACCATGGGCACTAGAAACACTCAGACCACGGGGACGCAGGAAACAGTCCGGTCAGTCCGTGATCCTTTCCTTAAATCGTTCACCGTCCACATGGTGGAATCCTTGCTTGGTTTACTGTTACGATTTCCGAGGGGAAGTATGGATCAACCTGGACTAAACTGCAAGTTGGGCATCCAACTGGAGTAGGGTCAATTGCTTGGAGGGCCTACTTTGACATCTAACTAGTGGAAATCGCTAACCTCAACTGGATTGGACTACCCAAAGCGTTTCGTCGATGTGCAGTGGCTACTTGGATTGAGCTACCCAAACAGTTTAGTAGATATGTCACATGTTCTTCCAGGCTCATTCGGCTTCCGGACGTTCCACCGACCTTGCCCCCCACCGAGGCACGCCATCGCCTTGCTCCAGTGCTCCGCACGTCCCAGCGGCCGGGCACTGAGCGCCTGTGGCAGCGCGCTGGCGCGGGCGCGGAGATGGGCTGAGGCGCTGTGGCTCATGGAGGCCACGAATCTGGTATGGATTGGATGGATGGAAGCAGGGATGGATGGGAGGATGGATTGGGTTGGGTTGGATTGGATTCATCAATGGATGGATGGGTGGATGAATGGATGAATGAATGGCTGAGGATGAATGAATGGATGAATCGGATGGACTCTGGAAAACAAATTGATTTGTTTGTCTTGAGCTTTCAATTGGCTGCTTCAGAATAGGGTACCATCCAGATCCCAAGGGAAAGATAAACATCAAGTTCCTTGGTCTTTTTGTTGAGACAGCCGTTGCCATTCTCGGTACCCCGGATGAGGGCATCTCTTCCACTTCCGCTCCCACTGAGAGGAACCAGATGCGCCCTTTTTTGCGCCGTCCCGTCCTCTCAATTCAGACGGGTGATGATGATTTTTCACTCCACCTCTTCAGCCTGGACACTATCTACATTCATGATTTGTGGAAATCATCAATTTTTCTTCCTCAAGAGACTCAAGAGTCAAGAGTCCTGTAGTTTGAAGATTTGGAAGGCATGGGATGGCATGGGCGGCATGGGGAGAGGAGTAGCAGCGGGAGAGCAACTTTCTTTGGTGTTGCCACTTCGAAGTCATCGAGATGGTTGTGACAGTGTTTCTCATGGTTTCCATATGCTTGGCATGGTGTCTAATTGTTTTCCTCAAATCTTGAAACGCCAGTCACACTCTATGACGGTTTTCACCGCGAAAAACAACGATACAAACACAGTGTCTGAAAGGGGTTGTATGACAAATCGTTGGATCTCGCCTTGTTGAGGGGTTTGAGTGCCCCCAAGGCGTGTGTAAGAACGAATCCGGACGAATTGGGCAGACCCATTGGCAGACCCGTTGGTAGGCCCGTTGGCATTCTTACCGGAGTTCACGGCGTTCGCGGGTGGTTTTGGGGGTTGAAACCGGGGGTTTGGAAGAGGAATTTCAGGAATTTCTGAAACCCAATGACTAGACTAGACACCTTACTGGAGTTCAATCCCAAGTATCTTCTCTTTCATAAAAGAGATATCTGATCCAACGACGAGGCCGCGCAGAAGCCCGTTCCAGCGGCCTTCCTCACGGCGGGGCGGCCGATCGGGTGCGAGCTGATGAGCCAAACGTGATTTGGAGGACCAAGCATGCCACTCCCACCTCCCATCTCCTTGAAGTCAGTGGCTGTTTTTTGGAGGTGCCAACCAAAAGTTGACATAGTGGCATGGTTGTGGAAGTCAGACTTTGATCCGGGGTGCCCTGTGCCTCAAAACAGCTGGTTACGCGAGGTACAATAGATTTTTGGTTTTCTGAGAATGGATTCGAAGAGCAAACATCCACATTTCAGGGTGCTACAGATGTTGTCCAATCAACAGATTGGCACAACATCCTACAAGGCCTTGACAAGGAAGGATGAACAACATGAACATTCGTAAAGGCTTACTCATGACATCAGGGGTTGATCAGGCGACATAAACACACCAACGATCCACTTGATGGGAGACATACTCCCATAAATTCCTGGTTTACAGACAACAGTGTCTACAGCGTCTCTGCACAAGATATTCACCTGCTACTTATATATGTATATACGTAATGTTCACATCGCAATGAAAACATCCCCCTAGTGGAAAATGGACGGCCGTAAATTGTGTTATTTGTAAAAACAAACTACTCGCAATTGTAAACCTCAGACCTTATAGGATTATGACAGTTTGTTTTCAATGTTGTTTGATTTCATTGAAACTAACATGTAATTCAATATCGATCAAAAGTCTATTCATTGAATCTGGACTCGTAGCTGACTTATTGCGATGTGAACATTCATTTAATAACTTGGTTTCTCACAACCCGTCTGTTAGATGTCCTACACCCATGTCATCGACCGACAACGGCCTCGGCGCCAGGCAGTGCTCGGCGCCTTGGGCAAGGTGAGGAAGTGGCAGCTGGCGCAGGCACTGCTGAAGGAGCGAGCTGCGAGCTGGGGAGAGGATCTGGGAGGTGAACATAGGACAACATGGCCAGGCGAAAGAAAGCACGGAAAGTAATTGCAACATGCCCAACATGTTGCAGCCTGGCCATTGTTCAAGGGTTGAAGTCGGAACTGCATGAACTTCAGTTGAAAGTAGCTCGCAAGCGTTCAACAAGAACAGCGGCTTGAACTCAGAACGATTGGGTAGAGGGCAAATACATAGTTTGCTTCACCACCATTGGAAAAAGTTAGCTTTGTGACATAGTTCCTTGTGATGAAAGCAGGAAGACATCATGATTGGCAGAAAGCAGTTTTATATAACATTCTTTTTGGTTGGGATTGGTGCCTTTCAAATCCGAAAACCACGATAGAGTCTAGAGGTCAGGTAGAGATTCAATGTCCAAGTCCAAGTAAGTCGTCGAAACCAAAAAATAGGAATCCAAATGTTAATCAACATCTGATAAACCCCAGCGGAACTTGATTCCTCTATACCACCCTGAGCGTTAATTATTCTTCTTGACACGTCAGGAGTCGTCGGAGTCAGTCGATCGGACAGCCTACAATGCGGCGTTGCAGGCGGTAGGCGTGGCCGGGGCGAGGAAGAAGCATGGCAGAACGATTCCTAGCACGAGTAGCACGAGTCAATGCGACAGGCACTGAAGGAATCATTTGGTTTACTATATGATGACTGAAGAAGAAAACATATCACAACCGCACAATTGAGCATGATGTTTTTCTATCCCTTGATTTGACTCGTTTTGTTTCTGTACTATTAAATTAGTCATTTTTTGTTTCCTGTGGCACACCAGCGGAGTGACCTCTGCTAATTTGGCATCCCATGTGGTTCAAACATCATGCTCACAAAGGTCGTCCACCTTGCACTCTGTAGCCGGTCCTGTATGCGTTTGTTAATTGCTTTTGGCCGTTGCATTGGACATTCAACACAATACCTATTTGCTTAGTTATACATGCCCACAACCCCATTTTGTGGATTGGAGATCCTGAACAAAAATAGCAGATTTGACACACCTACCTTGCTGGTAATACAGTTTCTGATTTCATCCCCCGGTTTTCGAGCTGGTGGGTTTGGGTACATGCCAAATTTTCCCCGCGTGCAACTATGTGCAACCTATACATGTGGGAGGACAGGTTTGCAGGCATTGTTGTGAACTTTGTGACTTGCCTCTTCTCAGTTCGATCCTCCTATTGGTTTGGTCAACTGGTCACTCTGCTTGCATAGAGGAAAGAAAGAAACCTTGAAAGGGATTTGGCTGCGTCTTTGGCACGAGAAAATATGGGGTATATTGTAACAAAGTTGTATTGGTTGCACTGCGTGCCTATATATACATGATTCGCATCTTCAAGACAAATTATATAATGAAGTTGTTGGACACCTCAAGCCCAAAGCACAAGAAATACAATTCCCAGACACCCCAATGTAGGCATAGCATACATGGAGTGTCTGGGATTTGTTTTGGATGACTCAACTGCGCAAGGAAAAACCGCTTCGCCTTCGATCGATTCACCTGATACAGCCCGCGATACATCGTGTGGCCAGGATGGCAGCGTTCCGCGCAATTGCTCCGAGAGATGCAGAAGCAAGGCCTCAACGGGATGCAGAACCACGTCGGTTCGATGAAGCATGTTCGATGGACGGACGAAGGAGCACCTGACCGTGGAGCACCTGCTTTCACCAGATTTGTGTTAGAAAGGGGGGGTTTCGGAGGTGAACAAGGCCAAGGGAGGTGGACAGGAATGATGGCTTTTCCACCTCCTTTTTGTTAGAACAAGGCCTGCTTTTCCCTTTCACCGGATTTGGTTTCCCCATTCAACATCCAAGGAGGTGGACATGGTGGACTGATTTCCAGGAATCGAAAAAGGCCGCGGAAGAGAAGGGCTCAGATGTTTGGTGATTTCATCGAAGAGCTGTGGAGACACGATGATTTCGAGTTCCCACTCACCTCCTGTGAAGATAGATCAGGACATCAGTCATCAACCATTTCGGTTGGCCCGCAATTCTGAGGCCTTGTTGGGTGGTCATCTTCAAACATTGATGCAAGGCAAGTCACAGTTGCCAACCGAAAAGGGATCTGAGTAATTAGACCCCGAGCAAAGAAGATAGAGCTCCAGAGATCCATTTGCCTTAACTTAATATCTCCCCAAACCCCCAAAACCAAATGAACTACTGTAAAGAAGTAAACAGTTGGAGTCGGAGTCCTGGGCAATCCCGAAAGTGATTCTCACGGAAAGGGTTGTTTGCTCCTCTCAATCTTCAGAAGCGGGTCTCGCCATTGCGCGGTGAACTCGTCCGCACCCCGCGGATCCCTTTTCCCCCCACCCTTTTCTGGGAAGTCACAAAAAGACTCCAAGAGCGACCTCGCAAGTCACCCGAAAGCAGGTCAACTAGTGGAGATCACCCACTTCAAGCGCGTAGTACCGCAACCTCAGGTCTTCTGCCGGACCTTTTCAGCTTCGCCACGCTCCTGAGCACTTTGTCCCGTGCCGCTGCGTGGGAGCGCGCCCTGCTCGTCGCGGAGGAGCGGGGGAGTGGGGGAGGGTCGAAGGTTGCGAAGCCAACGACCAGGCTAGAGTAGAACATGGATGAATTCGGTCATGATATGTCATGATTCATATTAGATTAATTAGAACCAGGCTATAAACATGATGCATTCACTAACCCATTAGTGAATTCGTGTAATTTTGTTGGACTCCAACTAGCACATAAAACAAAAAAAACAAACATGTGGTGATTCTCACAGGACTCAAAGATTCAGATGGTGCCCCATGTTTTTTGTTGTTTTTGTCTTTTGAAGGTTTCTGTTGATAAACATGAACAGGAGTGAATGACAGACTTCAATTCTAGACTGTGGATCATCCATGAATTTTCAGGACATGTCTGCGTCCTCAATCTCCAGCGATGCCTTGAGCAGTGGGGCCCTCTTACATGCTGGGAGCCAAGTTTTGGAGGCTGAAGTGGAGGGGTAATTTGCCACCATCCGTGTATAGTTGTGAGCGGCGATACTGTATATACTCCGATACCATCGTATGACAAGACCTTGGCAGACTTGGCAAACTTGTTTTTTTGTTGGATGATTTGTTGGGACTAGCCGGGGATGTCGGGGCTCGGTATCCAAGCCTTTCTTGCAGTTTGACATGCACGTGGTTTTAGTCGTGTTTGTGAAGTTCACCAAGCAAGTTTCAATTGTCCAAGGTCGCTCACTGGGCTGCTGCGTCAGTTTTTGTGAGGATTGTGAAGCAGTGTTGTATGGTGAAAAAGGAGCATACTACTTGCCAGTAGCAAGGAGTAAGCCGAGAATAACCCTTGTTACGAATATCATCCACGGAAACTATCCCGCAAATCTCCCACCCAGAATGGGGTCAAGTTGCAGCAGTTGCAGCAAGTGGAACAGCTTACTTGTTGACGGAAACATCGACACATAGTTTGCCACTTGCACTGCTCTATGTAGGCATAGCCAGAAATCAGGTATACCTTCTAATGGGTTCGTTCAAAGGGTTTTGGGTTGCTCCCAAACTCCCAAACTCCCCAGTTCTTGCCTGATCATGGCTGCCCCAAACTCTTTTGCCCTGCCACAATGCGTTCTGTCCTGTTTTCGCTGGCGCTCTCCTCCAGCACCTTCGGTGCGAGGCCCTGTCCAAAGCCTTCCGCTGGCGTGAAGCCCTGGTGTTTCTGGACGAGAAACCTCCTGGAGCGGTGCGGCCACTAGAGGCACTGTGCGGTGTCCTTTTCCACTTTTGAGGATCCAGGATGAGAGATCACCATCAGGCTGGTGAACTTCTTAATTTGGTCAATTTTAAAGGGTAAAGAAGGCAACGAGGCGTTTAAGTTCTTAAAGCTCAAGTTGATGGTTTTAGGGATTCGAAGCCTCGTTAGAGATTTGGTGATTGTGCTTTGAGCTGTGACACAGCTGGCACGAACATGTCAATCACAGCACATGAGTTACCACACCCACACACGCACACACTACACCGCAGAGTTGGTTCCAAGCCAAGGCTGATGTTTTGATAGAAAAGCAGTTGTCGTGAGGACGTAGAATCTTTGGGCTATGTTTCGTTTCTGTCTTTTTCATGGAATGTGACACGACCCGTGTGGCTCGGCTTCAGTTTCATCATTGGACAACGACATTCACCAACGCACTCCAGGGACCACCCACTCCAGAGGGCTGGTCTTGGCGAACTCGATTCGTGGCGGAGGTAGTGGGGTTTCTGCAGGCAGCCATCCTTCACAAGGTTTGAAGATGTTTGAAGAATATTTTTGGTGTTCACACAGTAAATTTATCATGCGAGAAACATCATGAGCTGCAACAATAATATGATCATTAAACACTGGGAATCCTCTCCTATCCTGTACTTGTAACCACCTCTTCCATAAGTCTGCTAGACCCACCAAAAGACCCCAAGCATGTCGTTGTGCACCCTTGCCGCTGTGCCGGGGAACAAGCCGCTGTGCCACTGGAGCTCCTCCTCGCGTGGCCACTCCGCTCGTGCCCCGAGACGCTGGAGCTCGTGGTTGCACCCTGCGAGGAGTGGCCACGAATGAAGCAGGCTTTTCTTTGAGGCTTATCCTGTTCAATTTCGGGGACTGCGTGTTTTTGGGCTTTATGCAGAGGAGATCTGTATAATTATGTGGTGTGTTCGTACTTTTCCGATTCATTGCACCAATTCCGCGACGCTTGTGTTGATGCAGTAATTACAACCTCTTCCACTGGGCAAAAGGGCGACGCTGCGGCCAGTCGTGTCTCCGAATTGGAGCCCCGCCAGTCATTTCGACATTCGACACAGATCCCAAGCAATGCGTGGATTAGTCATCCTGGGCGCGTCGGCGCGTCCCATTTCTAGTACAGTAACAATCCGCAAAAGATGCTCACTATTTTGGGGAAATATCATCATCCACTGTTACTGGTAATGGGATACACCCAAGTAAAGGTTAATTATGCCGGATTATTTGGATCCACAGCACTGGCCCTGCTGCGCAGGATTTTTGCTGCCGCCGGAGCATTGTGTTTGCACAGTCACTCGAGGCCGGCTGAAGTGCATTCTTCCCGCAGGAGGCGAATGCTAGAGCGACCGTCGCATGATCATGTGACTTGGTCAAGAAGGAAGTGACGCCACATGGGAGTTGCTTTGTAAGCCCACCAGGGTTGCGCGTGCCAACTTTCAAAACCACAAAAAAGACAGCAAAAACTTCAAGCAGTGAGAAGCCCACGTGGCTTGAAACTTCTGAAGACACTGGATCTACCCAAACAGGAAACTCAGGAATGTTTGGACCTGCTCTTTTTGAGACACATAAGGCTGGTGTGAGTGAATAGATTCGATTTGGATCACTGAATCCACACGAACGTCATGTGGAATCCCCTCATCCGAGGCAACGGGACGCAACATGCCGAAGAAATTGTACTTCTTGAACTCCCCCACCGCGGCGCGCCGTCACGGAAAGCAAGGAAGAAGCGACGCAGCTGCTACCCTGCGCAGGAAGATCAAGAAGTGTGGAAGCCAGAGTGAGCTTCTCAGTTTGGTGAGGTCGGCAGTGAATGACGGAACGCTAGAGGCAAGTGTGATTGGTGCTGCCATGCAGACTTGTGGCAATCGTGGATGGTGGGCTGAATTAATGGAGATCAGGAAGATCCAAAAGGAGCAGTGTGTGGAGCTTTTTCCCATCCAACGTGGCATAGCCTTGACTGCACTAACCTTATGCTTAAAGAAAGGGCACAGGTTCCGAGTGGTTGAGTCGCGGGCGCAAATGGCTCTTGCTTTGGCCAAAGAGCTTTGAGAAGAGATTGGTTCCCCGGCAGAGGTGGATAGCTTCAATTGCTCGCTTAGCAGCTCACTAAGGCTCGCTACTAGCATCAACTCGGAGGCTGCATACCGCTGGGGCAAGGCCATGTGTGAGAAGTCAAGTACTGCTTCGTACGACAAGAGCCACATCACGTTGTGCACATACGTGCTTTTCTTGGAGCAGTTCGGGCATCACGAGGAGGTGGATGCACTGTTGGAGGGCAGACAGAACGATTCAAAGCAGTTACTCAACCAGGTTCTCTTGGGTAGCCTACTAAATTCAGCGGCGGTGAGAGGAGCTTGGAGACGAGCAGAGGCCATATGGCGTCATGGTGTGAGACAGAAAGTCGAGCCAAATGTCATTTGCCACGATGCAAGGGCAAAAGCACACTTGTTGGCTGGCCGGCCAACTTTTGCCGTGAAAGTCTTGCAAGGTGCAATCAAGGAGAACGCCGCAAGTGCAGATTCAGAGTTTTGTGCCAGGCTAGTCCAAACTTACGTGCAGGCTTTGCTGGTTGTTTGCCACTCATCACTAGACCTCGACGACCTTCATCACCTTGCCAAAGTATTGCAACACGGGATGACAAGACCGCGAACAACAGTGCACATGATTTTGCAGAAGATGCAAAAGGCCATTCAAGTTCTTCGAACTCGACCAAGTCAACTACGCCTTCACGACGTTCTCATCGAATGGAACGCCAAGGAAATGAGTGCCATGGCTTCTTGGGACAACTTTGCAGCAGGGTCCCAGTACCTTCTAAAGCTGGAGACTTCCAGTGACTAGGTTCTGACTCGATTTTGAGCCACGCTGTTGAGCATTGAACCACATGCCACGGTGCTTGCAAACGAGCATCAAGTCTCGCTGGTCTTTGTTTCTGGCGTGGAAGGCATGGAAACCAAAAAGGAACTCTAGACTCTAGACCAAGGCTGCCATGTTTGACTTCAACCGCCAGATCGGTCCGTGCAACCGGTTCGTTCCACTCGGCAACCCGTGCCCCCCGTGCAGATGTTGGAAGCGTTGGCCGCTTGTGACTCGGTGGGAGAGGGGGTTCTCCAGTGACTCGGTGGACTTCAGGGGTCTCCTCAGGCTTTCCAAGTGACGCAAAAAAATTATGCATGTCATGTGAGTGTCAATTCTCTGTTAACCCAAACATACTCACGCAACCAACTACCTGAGACCACTTAGAAAGGCTCGCAAGGACGGCGGGACCTTGTGCGCCATGGGCCGTTGTTTGGAGCCGGGATGGCGGAGTCGAAGCATGATGCAGCATGGCAGGCATACTGCTGCTCAAGTCGGTCTTAGGTTCTATAGCAAGTGGGCTACGGTCCAGGTGAGCCGTTCGAACAGACAGAACGGGGAAGAGCGGCATGAGAGGTGCGAGCGCGGAACGGAGCAGTGACCAACCTTTGGAGGGCTCAAGAGAGTGACGCATCTGCCACAGAACCACCTAGAGAGATACCTATAGAACCTTTGGACTTGGAAGAAATCCAGCAACGTGAGAGTCCAAGTTGGATGACACTGAGGGCACAAGAAAGATCAAAAAACACCCTGAACGAACGACATCAAGCAGGTTCCAGTTTCCAGTCCTTACGTCACCCGTCCAGCGTCCCTTTTTCCCGAGGTCATGGCGCTGGCAGCTCGGTGCCGGCGATGGCCCTTCTCCGGCCCTGGGGGCGCAGGCGCCCCATGTGTGTTGGGGCGGAGGGTGGTTCCAGGTGCTTTCCTGGGTGAAATGGAAGGAACTCGCTTGGGGTGAAATGGAACGATGACATGGTGATGAAGCAAGAGGTCAATAGAGGTCATATTAGATCAAGTAGGGCTGCTGGGGGACGTGAAGCCAGGTGGGTGGAGCTAATGTGTTAGGCAAGAGAGAGCAAGAGCGAGAGAGAGAGAGAGAGAGAGTCCAACACAGGCCACATGTGAGGCAAGATTAATCAACATGAACCGTATAAAGTTGGCCAAAAAAAGCTCTCCGCAAGCGTTCATGTGGACAAAACCAAGCTAGAACTGTCGCAGAAGTTTATCACTTGATGAGAATGAAGTGAATGGAACCCCTTGGTTCACAAGCCAGCTTAGAGCGTGTCCCAAAGATGGAGACACCACAGCCTCCACAGGAATCAAACGTCCATTTCACAGCAACCATCATCTGAAGCATATGTCATGCATATGTCTTCCGAGAGAATCCTCTGTGGCCAGGAACTGCAGCTTTCCGCATTCACTCTTTTGGGCGGTTTCGACCCGGACCGGGAATTGGGATTCAACAGCTTCTGCACTTTCAGAGAGGATGGAATAGCCGGTGCCATCCAGGGCAAATTGGCTGTTTCATGCTGTTTCGTCGTATCTACAGGTGTGTGCACTTGAATCAATAGACACTGGAGATGTTATCCCCCCAACATCCCCCAACCAACAGGTTTTTGCTTTTAGTAGGGTGCGTCCCATTAGCAGTAACAGTCGGATACAGATAATCACTATTTTTGAGGCACCTAACCCACCATGAGATAGACCCAAGGCTTTTTCTCTTTCCTTTTTCTTCCGACGCGGTCACCGAATCGTTCACTGAATCGGTCGAAATCGTCGCCGTCGCGTGCTGCAGGCTGCCCCTCTTTCGGCCCCATGTCACGCTCACTGGCCGCTGCCAGGGAGAGGGCGAGGTGCTTGGGTCTGTCAAGTCGTGTCCCAGGTGAGGTTCGTCTGCATGGCAAGCGTTGATTTTAGGAGTGACAGCTCTTGGAAAAGGTACAAATCCAGAAGAATCACCGGTTCCTGTTGAGGGGTTGACATCAGCATACTGAGTCGACATTACACCACCGTAGACCCCAAACAGTTTGTGTTTTCAAAGTCGAAACTAGAGCTTGCGACGTCCAGAACTGGGAGACAAAGTTGCAAGGCAGAGGCGGCAGCCCAGAGCTGGGAGACAAATGTAAAGGATTGCAAGGCAAAGACGGACACAGCAGTACAGAGCGGGCGGACACATTTTAAGAAAGAATCGAGAAGCCCCAACAGTAAGTGAATTATTCTTCAAGCGCGAACATGATGCTGGTCATGCTGCTCAATCAGCGGGGAGTTGACCACGTGAGGACAAGAAATAAAAGCATGAGGAGCGAAGGATGTGACATGAAATTGATTTTTGGTGCCTGACGTATGCCCTCCGTCCCAACTGAACAGAGAGATGGCTGCCACGCCGCCGAAATCCAATCCGGTCATTCAGCCAACGCTGGCCCGAAAAGGAAAACAAAGCTGAGTGTTGCACAATGCGGCAGGAATGCAATCCCGGAGACAGTCACGCAACAGGTGAACCTGTTCCAGCCGACAGGGCAGAAAACAGCAGTGCAGGGACCAAACCTGAAAGACAAAAAGAAAGAAATCACATGGGAGACAAATGAATAGAAATGCTTCATGGCCAGCGGAAAAGGGCGGCAGCACCAGTGACAGACCCGGGAAACAAACGAATAGACATGCTGCATGGCCAGCGGAAAAGGGCGGACACCAGCAGTGACAGAGCTGGAAAACAAATGAATAGAAATGTTGCACCGCCGGCGGAAAACGACGGACACCAACAGTGACAGACCTCGGAGACACATGAATGGAAATGCTGCATGGCCAGCGGAAAACGGACGGACACCAGCAGTGACAGACCTGGGAGAAAAATGAATAATTAGAAAAATGGGCGGACACCAGCAGCGACACATCTTAAGAAAGAATTGAGAACCCCTAACAGTAAACTGTTTCGGGCAAAAGTTCAAGACAAATGCAAGGAAGTGGGAGACAAGCCGCCCGGAAACAAGCACCCAGCCTGGGAGACAAATGAAAAGAAGTGGGAAACAAATAAAAGGAAGTGGGAGACAAGCCAGCCGGGAACCCGACCACAAGCACCCAG